GAGCGAAGTGCTCTAATAGGGTGATATGGTACTACAAGGTCATTTAAATAAGATGGGGCCTGATTATTTAAGACCTTGTATGTGAGGAGCAGGATTTTGAATTTAATTCTGGTCCAGTTTTTGGTACTGAGCTTTTGGTCTTGGGACATCAGATGCTTTTTTGTTGTTAACATAAATTTTTATACAATACAATACAATTTTATTTATATAGCACATTTAAAACCAAAGGTATACCCAAGTGCTTCACAATAATCCAACAAGACATTGTTATAAAACATTAACAAAGTACAAAAAACAAACACTACTACTGTCACGGCGAGTGGAGTGAGCCGTGTGGAGATGATAAAGGAGGATCCAATTGCAGGCACTTGTAAAGGTGTGAAGGTGGTTTATTGAATACACAGCACAGGGAAAAATGGCAAACGAAGACAAACTAAACTATACTGGACACAACTAAACTACAGAGCACAAACCTGAACAAGAATGAGAACGAGCAGAGGAGAATGACGATGGACAGCAGGGAGAACACACAGGTGAGACATGGTGGATACACAGACGGACCAGCAACTACAATAACAGAAGACACGACTTAAATACACACAGAGAAACACAGGGAGATTACACACAGGTGGTGGACAATGCTGGGAGCAATTAACGAGACGAGACAAGAGGTAAAATTGAACACATTCACAAGAGACGCAGACCTTCACAATAAAACAGGAAACAAGACCTCACTACACAAAGACGCAGACTTGACACTGAGAGACAGACTGAATATAACACATGGAACCTAAATGCTAAACATGAGACACAAATCCTGAAACACACATGAACAGAAACATGGAAATCTAATAATAATCTATCATCATCATAATCATCACCACCGCCACCAGTATACAGGAATAATCCATTATTCAAAGCCAAAACATAACAACTCTAAAATGCTGAGTCGAACCGACCGGCCTGGAAAGCGGCTGGCAGAGGCGAGCCGGAACAGGACGAGCTGGGTCCAATGATGGTGTGGCAACCGCAGGACCACACGAGA